GCTGCGCTGCTCGGCTCCGCCCGCGGAGGGCGCGTGCGCGCCTGGGAAGCCCACGCTGGTGTGCTCCAGCGCGGTGGGGAGCTGGTCGTACTCGCCGCAGAGGCGGCAGAGGGTGTGCTCCGGGGAGGGCCTGCCCAAGACCGACCTCATGGCCTTCAGTCCCAGCCTTCCACCTGGTCCCATTGGCGGGGATAAAGAGCAGTTGAATGTGGACGTTGATCTCTCTGCTAAAGTGAGTACAGTTTTAAAACCCTTTCAAAATATCCTTGTTTATTATTCCTCAATGTTTTTACTTTTTGAAACATGTTTTTGTTAATTGGTTTTCTAGGATTTTGTGGTTAAAATGTTTGAGTTTCTTTTGACTGTTTTTGAACTGAATCAGCAGTAAGTAATGAGAACCATACTTGTAGTTTTTTGTCGTTGTAGTAGTAGTAGTTGTTAGTAGGTGCGGTAATAGGATTATTTTATTGCTAATGTATGGATAGAAACTAAATATATTTTCCCTGATGAATTGTATTGTTTAGAATATTTGACTCCAACTGTGGTTTACTAATCCTTGCTCAATGCTTCAGTAGCTTTTACCCCTTTTCATTTGGAATTCTTACATGTGTTAGTCCAAATGTCACCGGCCCATTGTATGAATTCACTATAACTCTCACCACTCCCTGTTTGTTTTTTATATCTTCAGTTTCAAATATTAGTTTATTAAGTCTGTTGTCTCTATGAAGCCTCTTTTACTCACTCATTTATGTGAAGTCTTAGTTGTTTCTTTCTACTTGAACATGATTCATTTTAGTCCTTGTGCTCACATTTGGTAATACATTATATTGTTGCTAGTTTTCCAACTGGGTAAAGAAAACCACACACACCATAATAATAATTTTATTGCTTTAGCATCATATCTTTGTACGTCTTAAGTTTCTCACTACTTTTATTAGTAAGCATTGAAAAAATCAATAGGAAGTGAAATTTTATACTCCCGTATATCACCATTTAGAAAATATTCTTTTTGAAAGTATATTATTAATTTTGTTAAGAATTGTTTTCCATCAGAACAATTTGTTGAGAATACTACTCTGTATCTAATTTTAAAACTATTAGGGGCGCCTGGGTAGCACAGTCCGTTAAGCATCTGACTCTTGGTTTCAGCTCAGGTCCTGATCTCAGAATCCTGAGATCTAGCCCCTAGTGGGGCTCCGCCGTCCGTGGGGAGTCTACTTAAGACTGTGTCTCCCTCTGCCTCTGCCCCCCACCCTGTGCTCTCTCTCTCTAAAATAAATAAATAAATCTTTAAAAAACTGTTCTAGGGATGCCTGGATGGCTCAGTCGTTAAGTGTCTGCATTCGCTCAGGTCATGATCCCAGCGTCCTGGGATCAAGCCCCGCATCAGGCTCCCTGCTCAGCGGGAAGCCTGCTTCTCCCTCTCCCACTCCCCCGTTTGTGTTCCCTCTCTAGCTGTGTCTCTCTCTGTCAAATAAATAAATAAAATCTTTAAAAAAACTATTCTACTAGCAAACTTATTAATCATTAACCTATTTTGCAAACAGTATTAAGGATGCTAATGTCCAAAAACTCCAATAAGTTAATTACTTAGTGTTATTACTTGTGAGTATTTTCCTCTGAATACCAACCTGTCCATTAATGTGTGTTATATAGTACATAAAATGTGTGTTATACAGTACATAAAAACTCCAAATAACTGGAACCAAATAAAACAAAATGAGATTGTTTTGTAGTCATTTCCCTATTTGGCATTTGATAATTTCTCCAAATAGATGGACTTCCATTTAAGTTTTTTGCTACTGGAAACTGAATCTTAGCCATATTACAGACTAGAAAACAAGTGATTATTTCTAAACCATGAAAGATAAAAAGAGAATACTAACCTTCTTGTGGGAGGTCATTGGGTTCCAGTTTATACAATTATATGGACTATTTTTCTACACAAATTATAACTACAACTTCCTACTTCCTGTACAAGCTTCCTTGCTGAAACCTGGTTAATACTCAGTGACATTGTGAGTGAGACTAACATACAATAGAGAAATAATCCTCTTTTTTCCTATTTTAATTTCCTTTTCTGTCACTATCCTTTGTTGACCCCTGTCCGTCAACTGTTAGCCACAGCATGTCCCATCTGAGTTCACATGTTATTTCATTTGGGCTGGTTTTCATCCTGTTGTAATTAATAGGGTCATCCAAAGTTCTTCTCTCCCAGGATGTGGGACTTCAGTTTTCAAATTGAGCTCTCCTCTTCAAATTCTTGTGTAACAAGATTCTCAGTTAATAAGACATTTTAAAGACTTTTGAGTTTTTCTCTTTAGAGATATATTGCTGCTCTACAGATGAATACTAATAGTTCTCACATAAATATTCTTTATATTTTGTTGCATTCCTCATATATGCATTTAATTATTTTCAAAATAAAGTAAGTGGACAGGGAGTCTCTTTTGGTTTCTTCCAGTGTTTGACTTTTATGGTCATTTTGTACAAATCTACAGTTTCAGTCCTCAAACAGAGAAACAGAGTCTGATTCATGTTTTAATTCAGAAAAGATGTTTTTGTGTGTGTGAGTGTGGCTCTTCATAAAATGGAAGCCTAAAGCTATTTTCAGTAGATTGATTTTTTTGTTCTAATCAACCATGAGGGAAAGAGGTTTATGAATGTAAGAGGCAAAGAAAGTTTGAAAAGTTTGAAAATAATTACCATCATGACCTTTTAAGTTTCCTTATGTCAGGAAAATATATTGTGCTCTGTTGATTGAGAACTCTTCATTGAGTATTAAAACTCGGGATGTCTCTAAGATCATGACTACCATGAACCAGTATGAAAACTAAGCTAAAGTCCAGGTTTTCAATATGGAAATTGAAATATATCTTAATTAGGGCAATGTCCAAGTAAAATATTTTTGTATCTCTGGAAAATTATAGAGGCTGCTGCTAAGACATAATATTTTCCTAACTGGCTTTGTGACCACCTTAATTTAATGCACTTTATTAGGCAACTGAAGAGAACCAGACCATTCTATTAGGTAAACATTCAGCAAATACTAGGTATGTATTCTGAGCTCTTAAATTAATAAGACAGAACTATTCTCTTTAAAAGTTTATATTTCATAAAAGAAGGTTCCAGTTATTTGGATCTTTGTACTAATTATATGACACCCATGTCATTAGACACACATACTCAAATGCCTACAAAAGAGATATTAATGTAATAAATGACCCAAGTGATTCCATCTGTATGCTATAGTATATAAAAGAAAGTAAAGGTACCTGCTCAACTGGGTTAATCATGAAAGTCTTCATTTTATTAAGAGGTCGAGAAATTTTAAAATCATTATAAAATGTGGGGTTGCTTTGTGAAGCATTTGGAAATGATGGATATTAGGGGATGAAATGAGTTTTTTAGTGAAAAATATTATTGGAAGCAGGAAATTGTCCACTTTGATTGAAATACATGAGCTCTATAGAAGAAAACAGAAGCTTATGCCTATTAGACACTGGAGAACAGGATTTCTAAATTTAAGAGACAGGATTTCTAAATCTAAGAGACAAATTAAGAATACCAATCTTGCTTGTGGGAGGTGTGTATTTGTTAATAAAATTATTTGCAATACTTTCCCACACCCATTATTTACCACAACATCCTACTTCTTTAAAGCTCCTTGCACTTTCAGCCCTTAGATGAATTAATGAAGACCTTCAGGTAAATGCTGGTGAGTTTTGCTTCCCTTTTTAGGACATTTTAAAATATCCCAACATTTTTAAAGTTCTCTTTCAATGGCTCATTCTTGGCATTGGAGGTTTCCTAGAGCAGAGGGGTCTCTGAAGTCTTCAACACAAGGAATATGAAGTCCAAAGATGAAGACTGTGTCATCATTAAAAACTACTTTCCCCCATTCTCAGGAACACATAAAATATGTCAAGAATTTTCCTAATCAACACTTTAACAATTCTATGTTTACAAATGTATGTATGTTAATTATAGCTGGGTCTCTATAAATACTTAAAACCTGTGTGAACAAAAGATTTCCATTGAAGTAAAAGCTGTCGTCGTGGTGAAACTAAGGGTCACACTCAATCAACGGTACAAACTGTGGATCTTAGTAGTATAAAATGTGTTTCTAAAGTATGCGCAATGGCTGAAAGGAAGACTCACCGGTATCAGAATCCATTACTTACGGTTTGGAGCCACATGATGTCGCTCTGTACCATAAAATCGATCTTAAGAGAGGGGGGGGAAAAAATCCCTTCTGTTCTTATAAAGAAGCTGCACCCACCATCCACATGCTGGGAAATGGAGGATACAGCGGCACTGGACTGAACAGTTAGAAGATTTTTCTTGATTTTGAAACAAGATCCCTTAATAAAAACAAAGCACTGCGGGCTGGAGATGGAGTTTTCCTGGGGAAGCAGCCAGGAATCCCGGCGTCTGCTGCTCTCACTTCTGTTCCTGGCAGCCTGGAGAGCAGGGAGCGGCCAGGTTCACTACTCAGTCCTGGAGGAGGCCAAACACGGCACCTTCGTGGGCCACATCGCCCAGGATTTGGGGCTGGAGCTGGCGGAGCTCGTGCCGCGCCTGTTCCGGGTGGCGTCCAAAGGCCACGGGGACCTTCTAGAGGTAAATCTGCAGAATGGCATTTTGTTTGTGAATTCTCGGATCGACCGGGAGGAGCTGTGCGGGCGGAGCGCGGAGTGCAACATCCACCTGGAGGTGATCGTGGACAGGCCGCTGCAGGTTTTCCATGTGGAGGTAGAGGTGAAGGACATTAATGACAATCCTCCTATGTTCCCTGGAACACGGAAGAATCTATTTTTGGCAGAATCCAGGCCTATTGACTCTCGGGTTCCACTAGAGGGCGCATCAGATGCAGATATCCGGGCCAACGCTATGCTGACCTACACACTGAGCCCCAATGAGTATTTCTCGCTGGAAAAACCGTCCGATCCTGAGCGGGTGAAACGTCTTGGGCTACTGTTAAGGAAATCTTTAGACAGGGAAGAAGCTCCGGAGATCTTTTTAGTGCTCACTGCCACTGATGGCGGCAAACCTGAGCTAACTGGCACCGTTCAGTTACTCATCAAAGTGCTGGACGCCAATGACAACGCCCCAGCTTTCGATAGAACACTCTATGCTGTGAAATTACCAGAAAATGTTCCTAATGGAACGTCGGTAATGAAACTTAACGCCTCAGATTTAGATGAAGGCTCGAATGCGGACATTATTTATTCATTCTCAACTGATATTTTACCCAATGTGGAATCCAAGTTTCACATAGATCCACTTACTGGAGAAATTATGGTAAAGGGATATATCGATTTTGAAGAAAGCAAATCCTATGAAATTCTTGTAGAGGGTATTGATAAAGGACAACCCCCACTCTCTGGCCATTGTACAGTTATGGTGGAAGTTGAGGACACCAATGATAATGTCCCAGTAATGGAATTCAAGTCCTTGTCGCTCCCAATCAGAGAAGACGCTCCATTAGGCACGGTCATCGCCCTCATCAGCGTGTATGACCTCGACTCTGGTGCGAACGGGCAGTTGACCTGCACCCTGTCACCCCACGTTCCCTTCAAGCTGGTGTCCACCTTCAAGAATTACTATTCGCTGGTGCTGGACAGCGCCCTGGACCGAGAG